TAAAATGTACCAATAAAATTAATTTTTTTTTAAAAAAGAGGAAATGCCTGAATGCTCCCCCACCGCCATTCTTTCCTTTCTACTGAGTCTCTACAATTAGGTTCATTGTGGTTGAGATTGCTTCAGTTTACTTTGAGTAAGCAGGGATGTTTGTGCCAGGCTACCCTTCTGAATCAGGAAGGATGGAATTTCAGTTACAGAAATTACCTTGATACAGAAGTAGCCAAGTCCCAAGAAATACCTGTAAGGTACTGCTGCCGCCAGGAGACAGGAACCTGAAAAGTCGTTTCCAACACAGCGTGTTCTTGCTTATCTTCCCACAGTGAAATCGCCAATTTGTTGGCCCAGTTTATATTCTCAAGAAAGAAAATTTGATTAGCATAAATATGATTCAGAAGCCACAAGGTCCAATTGCCCTTTCTTCAGTAGACTCCCCCCTACTTTTAGCTAGGCCTAAGGCTCCAAGGTCAATTTCATTTCTCCATTCCTGCCTTTTGCCAAGGGGGTGAAAGCAAAAGTGCTTCTTAAAGGAAAGGGAGATCTTTCCTTTGACACCTTCTTCCCTGCTGGCTGGATCACAGACAAGAAGGCATGGACCATGTAGACGAGATCAACACCTTAGGAATGGCAAACAAGACGGGGAACTGAGCCCCTGACAGTTTTCTGGAAATGAATTTGGGCCTCAACATGAAAAAAATATAAACTTCTCATTTGTAGGAGCCACTATTATTTGGAGTTTCTACTACGTAGAAAGTCACACTAATCTAACTGGTCTGTAGATTAGGTTGGAGAGAGGGCCTGTAATGGAGAAAAAGCCATGCCAGCTCAAACTGCAGCTGAAGAGTATCTCCTCACCCTTCTATTAGCAGGTGATAAGAGATGGGCAGTTTTCCTTCAGAAGATGTATTTGAAGGACACTCCCAGCTGATCTCTGGAACACCAGGACATGCCTTTTTTTCTTGTTCCTAACTATCCTCATCGCAGAATTCCTTTTGTTACCAAACCAAATTGTCAGTTCTCATTCCTCATCTCTCAACCTGTTGACAGCAGATGAAACAACTTGACTACTACTTTGCACCTGAAAACTGGTTTTCCTCCTTGACTAAGATTATTAATTGAGCTGTGGTACTACATGGAGGCATGAAGATAAGCAGAAGTTAGAAGGTCCTCAAACATAAATCTTTATTATCTTCCACAAAAGCATTTTATGTCTGTGTGGGGATCTCTTGTCTGGCTGACATTCTTCCATATTCTAAAACCTATTTGGCCTAATGTTACTGATGTTGGACCGTAACTGAATACTCCCACACATGCTGCATTGGTAGGACTTTTCTCCATTGTGCATTCTCTTAATGTTGAATAAGCTATCCTTTCTGGAAGAAAGCTTTCTCTCATTTAGTGCTTGTCTCCTCCATGATTTTTCTTTTTTCTTTTTTTTCTGGTACTGGGCATCAAACTCAGGACCTTGTGTTTATGAGGCAGGCACAGTACCACTGAGCTAAATCCCCAGGCCCACTATGATTTTTCTGATGCAGATAGAGGGGTAAGCAGACAAAGATGTTTCCACACTTATCAAATCCAAAAGGAGTATCCAACATGCACTCTGCTGTGATGAATGGGAGATGAATGGTCAAACAAACTTTGCCCCAAACCCCTGGCTGCTCTCTGGTGTGAATTTATGGGGAGCAATAGACTTTTCTGGCTAAAGGAGTTCCCACATTGTGTACATTCATAAGGACTTTCCCCAGTATGAATTTTCTGATGCCAAGTAAAAGATAAGTGGGCAAAGAAGGGCTTCCCATATATGTTACACTGAAAGGGTTTCTCTAGTAGAATTCACTGATGCTCGGTAAGGCTTAATTAGTCATAAATTTTTTTCTCATATTCACTGTATATAGAGGGGATCTCCTCTGTGTGTGACATCACATGCTTCCAAAGACTACTCCTGTAGCTGAAGATTACATTCTTGAAAATCTAGGACTTCTCTCCAGTGTGAGTCCTTTGGTGGCAGATGAGAGATAAATGGTTATACAAGGTGTTTCAAAATATGCTGTGTTCATATTTTCTTATGTTACTGCTGGCTTTCTTGGGAGGAGTGGATCCTTCCCTTGAGTCATTCTCCCTGAGTGAAGATTTCTTCCGTTTCCTCTAAAGGCTTTCCTTCTTTCTGCCCTCA